TTCAATTTCTTGAATCTTTTCATTTAAATCTTCATCATTCTGATATTTTTCATCATCATCATTTCTCCGTCTCAATCGTTCATAGATACTTGCAACACTCCTGTCTTCTGTCTGTTCTTCAACATTTTTGGTGTGCTCATCATCATAGTTTTCAATAAATTCTTCCGCTTCTTCAAGTAAAGCATCAATTTCATCTTGATCAATCTTTTCATTACGAAGATTCTCATCGCTTTGTTTGTATTCATTTACGCGTGGAATATATGTATCATCCCACAGTTCATCTAGGTCCACTCCTGCAAGCAAATCACCATCCAATATGATTTCACCATTCTTCCAATGATAAGTACGTAAATCACAAACGCCTTTGTCGTGTGCCATTTGTTCCACAATTTTGATCACTTGCTTGGTGATCGGAAGTACCGTTACATAGGGTCTTGGTACTGTCTTTTTTGTATTAAGATCAAGTAACTTATGTCCCGCTTGTATGCTGTCATTCACTCCAAGATAAATAACATCAATTGTTCTTGATCGTTGACTGTTGTTGGTCGTGTGACCATATCCTTGTACAAAGGATCCAATTTCAGAAACACATTCTTTTGAAAAATCTACCGGTTTTTGTCTCACAATCATATGTGGACTGTAATATTTTTTCGAAATTCCCTCCTTTGCAGGATAAAAGTTAATAACCTTTGTCACATGCTTGAGTAAAGCAATAGTCAAAACCTTTGGAATTGCTTTGAACACCATTTGATGATAGTGTGCTCGGAATAATCCTTTCAATGTTTGATTGCTGCGCTCAATAGTTGGTTCGTGTTTGCCCGGCGTGGCATAATTCATGGTCACATCCATATTATCTTTCACGTCATCAAATACCGGTTTGAATTTGTTGTCGCAATAAATAGTTTTGATTCAAAATTCTGCATGATTATAAATGCGTAAAATTTTGTCAATCGACTTGTAAATAGCATCTTTCGTCCAATCTTTCAGTTCAGTACTGAATCGGAATTTGATCGCTTTGTCAATACTGACAAAAAACGCGACATTGTTGATAAACATAATGCCAATGCATAAATCCAGGTTTGAATTGTGTTTCAGTACTTCCTTGGGCATTTTAATGGCTTTTGTTTG